CTGTTAAGTTTCTACATATCTACCTTGCCTATAGTCGAGTGTGTCTACCGAGGCCAAGTATGTCACCCCAGCAATCTAATGTGCTTTGTAACGCCCTAGAAACCGGTCTAGAAGTTATTCGATAATTTAATAAATAAGAATTGCTTATTTACAACAATCTATTCTTTTAAAGAATTAAAAGATATTTTAGAGATTCTAATCATCTCAATATAACGATACTAATGTAATTATATTTGTAAAGATTTAAATTAAAGGACTGATCAGTACTAACTAATCGAAAGAATTAAGACGGATCAAGTGGAATGTATAAATGTTTATCAATTGAATATAAAAGTTATATCATTGGGTAGGGATCGAGGAATTGAATCTAACGACGCAAACAGATCTTAATTCGGAGCAAGTTGGCCCAAAAAGTGTGTTTTACTCAGACACGTTATTTTAAATTACGGAGCACAAAACCCAAAGAGTATATGTACTCAATTTCTCGCTAGATCCGGATTCACAGACGCCTTCCGCCTCCTTATTCTCCGGTTTGAACACGTCGCAACATGATTTCTGATACGGTGGTCCCCTAAGTGTTGGAACACGGGTTTACGCCTTACGTCGTACTAAACTGTGTTCGGTTTTTATGACAGGTTTTGATAATGCCAAACCGCCGCGACATATCGAAGCTAAAGTGAGCAAAACTAAGGCGAAGGAACATGGCATGATGACTTGAGAACCAAGAACCCAGAATCAAGAACGAAGAACTAAAATCGTATTGAGTCGGTCTTAATGTGATCAAGACCGGCACAAAATTCCAAATCTTGGCTCTCTAGGCTCAATTCATAAAAATCTCTTTTACATGTTCAAAAATATTTTTCTTAAGTTTAAACTTGGGTCAAAACACTTGGAGTTCGCCCAAGCCAAAAACCAAGCCATCCGGCGTTCGACTTTCAGAAACTGGCATTCGGCTTTCGGTTTTCAGCATTGGTTTTTGGCGTTCGAACCAACCAAGTGGTTTTCAACTTTTTATGACTGGTTTTTATCTCTGGGCATATTTAATTAGCTCTCCAACAAAAACGCCTCAAAAACCACTCTCCGTTTTTTGTCGTTTAGTAAAAACCATGCGAAACGGCACGAACTTGGTTAGCCGTGGTTTTCAACTAAATGACATGGTTTTCAAGATGTTTTACTTGTTCTCTTAGCAAAATGCAATAAAAAAATTTTTTCTAAACTTGGTTTTTATTTTGGAGAACTTGCATTTTTGACATCAGCTAACGGCGTGACTAAACCAACCATGGGTCTGGCTAAACCAGCCCAACAGCGATGTTGAGGTAATCAACAGCGCTGTCTGGACTGGGTAGCTAAAAACATGGTTTGGTGTTAAGTCTTCCAACAGCGATGTTGGTCACTAGACATCGCTGTTGAGCCAAGGTTGGATTTCCAGAAACTTCTGGAACAGCGATGTAGGCTTCCCTACAACGCTGTCCAACCTAAGCCAAAAATATAGTGCATTGGCAGAAAGTTTTTGGACAGCGATGTTGACCCAGCAACAGCGCTGTCAGGCCAAACTTCCATCTCCAAAGGCAGACCTAAACAGCGATGTTCTAGGATAGAACATCGATGTAGAGACCTGACCGTTGGAAGGAATTTAAGGCTAAAACTTTCCTTGTTTGGAAGTCAACAGCCAAAACAGCGATGTAGGGGTTTTGGACATCGCTGTTGGCATGACCGTTGCTTCCCAATTTTTAAAAATCGAGCCTAGAACAGCGATGTCCAAGCCTAGGACAGCGCTGTCTGGGTGAATTTCAGCAGATACAATTTTAATCAAATCCCACAAATTATGCCAATCACCCCTTAAATACTTTGGTCCGTAGGAGCCTATTTTTCTACTATAAAATGGGGTGTTTGGGTCTGTTTTACACATCACATTACTTCACAACTCCTACTCTTTCATTTCAAATCATTCTTCAATTTTTCATAGCTTTTGAGAGCCATTTTTGTGAAGCCTGTGTTGTGTTCTTGAGTGTTCTTAGTTTACTCATTATCCACTCTAAAAGAGAGTATTGTTCTTGAGTGTTTTTAGTGTTCTTAGACACTTGACAAGAGAAGGTATTTCTCTTGTTGTTCGAAGGAAGGGTTGTTTCCTTCGATGGTTCGTTGAGGTTCGTGTGACTCGAATTCTCAAGTTGTACGGGTTTGTTAAGCACCGTTAAGCTTAACGAGATAGTAGTGTAGCTCGAGAGAGTCTCTCGGGAGGCTGGACTAGCCACAAGTTGTGGTGAACCAGGGTTGTAATACCCCGTGTCAAGATGGGAATGGGAAGAGCTCAAAAGGATTGATAGTACTACTCATACCAACAAGGTGCATCTTCTTTTCGAGAGCTCATCACCTAAAAACTCCAAGGTTAAGCGTGCTTGACCTGGAGCAATTCGGGGTGTTACAAATGGTATCAGAGCAACCCTGCGACCGTGACGGGCCAGAAGAGCTTAGTTCACCTAGCGGGGAAGATTTATGGGTTCAAAAAAAAGGATGCAACGAGGACGTTGCATTCCTAAGTGGGGTTGAATGTAATACCCCGTGTCAAGATGGGAATGGGAAGAGCTCAAAAGGATTGATAGTACTACTCATACCAACAAGGTGCATCTTCTTTTCGAGAGCTCATCACTTAGAAACTCCAAGGTTAAGCGTGCTTGACCTGGAGCAATTCTAGGATGGGTGACCCCCTGGAAAGTTTTCCTTGGGCGCGCACGAGTGAGGACAAAGTGTGCGGGAAAGACTTGTGTTGGTTTGTGGGGACAGTCTACAATCCTATGAGCGAACACTTACGGCCAGGGTGGGGGCCGGGGTGTTACAAGGGTAAACTCGGTGTGCCTCGTTCTTTTGTCTTTACTTCTCGCTTATTCATTTTTATTCCTGCGATTTCTTGATCAAACGCTATTCACCCCCCCTCTAGCGTTGGTCTATTATTCTAACACTAAGTGGTGAGATACAAAGTGTAGAGGGGGGAATAGACTTTGTTACAAATTTAAAAATTTTTTTGTTTCTTTTTGAAAACGTTAAATGGTTGTTAATCTAAAGTTCTTGAGAACATAGATTGTGTGTGGAAGTTGGTGGATTGTTGGAGCAGTAATCAATATGGATGGGTTAGTTTCACAGTTAATTTAATCACAAATTAAAATAAGTAAAGATAAGAGAGAGAGACACGCAAAGTTTAACGAGGTTCGAAGGTGGGGTAATCCTTCTACGTCCTCAAAATCCACTATATAGTTGGTTGTTGAATAATGAACCAACAATTACACTTTGTGAATTTTAGCACGGTATATCTTCGCAAGGCCAATATTGTTACTGCACTTGTGCTGCCTTTGTTGTTTCTTCGAAGGTCAAGCTTCTTCAATAACTGAAAAGTCCGAACAATAGGACTCGCAAGGTCAACTTGTAGGAAAGTTGATGTGCCCCGTTTTAATCAAAATGTTTGATTAAAAGTTGTATCCTTCAACGTGGTGTGGTACTTGAGGCGAGTAAACCTTCAAGTGTTTAACTTTATAGCTCTTTGGAAGAAGGAGAAGTTTGCTTCCGGATAAAGAGTTTAAAATTCTCTCTTTATCAAGCCTTTTTGGCTAACTGTGAATGAAAGTAACTTTGTTCGTTGTGTTGTTCGCATCTTCTTCAGTCTTCCATGGGAGCTATATATAGGCTGGGTGGATTAATCTATCCGTTGAAGAGAATAGACTATCTGTTGCATTTGTTGGCTTCAATTTGAACGAAGAGGGAGATTGAGGATTGTCCTTGGAGTGAGTTTTTGGACATAACCAATTGTTTGAAGAGGGATTCCTTTGTCACAGAATCCGTCCTCTAGATGTTCTTCAAGAATTCTGGACTGTAGCTCTTTATTGAGTGGAGTACCCATTTTGTCTTCATGTGTTTGTTCAAGAATTCTGACCGAGTTCTTCAATTTGAGGAGTCCAGATTTTTTTCTTCTTGTCATTTGTTCTTGAATCAGCTAAATTATCCTCAATCTAGCTGTTGAAAATCGAGAGATTGATTTTTCCATACCAACAGGCAGAATTTCTTCATTCATGACTTAGATAAATTTATAAGTCTTTTCTCACTTGTCCGCTTTTGAGAGTTCCGGTCCACCTTGAGACATCCGGCTCTTAGCTTGACAGTTCCGGATTAGTCATCCCGAGACTTCCGGGTGAGACTTCCGGGTAGAGTTGAGTATTTCAGATTTTGAGAATTCCAAAGTAATTAGACTTCTTTGAGAATCCCTTTCATGTCTATGACATTTTCGATCGAGAGTTCCAATTCCCATATCACTGATTTTGCTAAGTCTTCAAAGTATGAATACTCAAAATGAAATATCTCACGTTTTATTTGAAATCTCAAGAACTTGGTTTTAACAATATTTCTAAAAAAATTACATTGAATAACGGGGGAGACCTAGAGTCACTATTACAATCTAAATACATCATCATCAAAATTTATAATTTTTCCCAACACTTTCCCCCTTTTTGATGATGACAAACAAGTGTTTAATAGTTCTAGTCGCTGTACTGAGAACTAATTTTATAACTTTCTTTTAGTTTCTCATAATATACAGCTTGTTAACAAAAACTCTTAAACAAAATACAATGCAAATTACAACTCTTCCTAAACCAAGTCTTGTCTTGAGATTTGTGATATTTTTGACACGTGCTGCTTTCGTCTTCAGCTGTTTTTGCTTGAAAACATTGATGGCATTGAGTTTGATGGATCTCAACATCCAAAGAGGACATTGAGACCTAAGGATCAACATCTCTCCTAGAGAAAAAGAAGTGTTTGGAAAGGAAAGAAGAAAGGTGGTGAAAGAAGGGAAACGAGGAGAAGAGAAGTGGAGACTTGAAAGATGAAGGGAAAAAAAATGAAAGTTTTAAAAAATGGTGGTGAAAGAAGAGAGAATAGGAGAAGAGAAGTGGAGACCTGAAGGATGAAGGAAAAAACAAAAAAAGAAAGGAAAGTTTTGAAAAAGAAAAGTGGAAGGGGAAAAATGGAAGAAAATAGAAAATTTTTAAAAGACCAAGAGAAAAATGAAATGTAAAACAGAAATGGAGAGAAGGAGAGGGGAAAAGAAAGTATTTAAAAATGGAGGATTATAGGCGTAGGGAGAGTGTTGATCCAGAGAAGGTGTATGACGAGATGCAAAAATGCGAGATTATCACCATATACCTTCTCTACTACCGAGATTTTCACCATAGACCTTGAATTTCTTTTCTTCCCACAAGGCTTTCTCCAGTGCCATCTATGAGAGTGAGGAAGAAGAACTTCTCCATTGAAGATATTTTTCTAGGTGATTTTCTCAGGTAGTGAGTTTGAAGACTTTTCATATTGGAAAATTTGTTGTGATGGAAATGGATGTGGATAGGCTCCCTTTAGATAGGTGGAGGAGAAAAGAGGGGGTGGTTCACGGGTTCCATTAAGTGGGTGGTTAGAACGGTAAAAAATAAATCGTTTTCAACTTCCAAGAAAAATAGAACTTTGAAACGTTGAAAACTTTTTATCAGTTACCAATGAACCAAAACAGTTTCCAAAAGAACCAAAACCAAATACGTTGGGTTTTCTAAGGGAGTAGTTGTTTTGTTTTGACTAAGCCCACAAGAATGGGCCAAAAAAATCTATGCACTATAGGGAAATTATTCTTATTGGGTTCTCAAGGCCCAAAATAAAATCTATCATTTTTCATTCCCTAAAGTTCTAAGTTCTAATTAGGACGAGGTAGTACCGAAACATAAAATTCATTTTTTAAAAAATGGTACTAATTTTCCAAAGTCCTGCACAGTCAAAAATTCTAAGGACCCGTTCTTAGAGCAAGAGAAAGGAAATGAACTAAGGTTTGAAACTCAATTTAAGAAGGCAGATATATTGTAGAATACCTGAATCGGTGGTCTCCAACTCAATAGTACAAAAAACGAGATATCCGACTTCCATGCTTAGAGTTCTGATCCGTCAGTAGTCCATTACCAAACAAAACATTATCCAAAAAGAGTTATATTCCCCCTAAATGTATACACGCATAATAAATCTCAAAACTCATACTTAAAAATCGTGTTCAAGCATATTTGTAAGAGATTTAAGCAAAGAGTGTTTAAACAAGAAGGTGTTTTCATCAAAACAAAAAGTGTATATTTAACTTGCCCCTGTTTTGATGAGAAAAACCTTCAAGTCTTTTTCTGTTTGGAGGAGTCGACAACTACACCCAAACCTTGAATGAGTCCACATTCAGCTCTTATGCGATTCAGATTCTCCATGCGCTCCTTGTGTTGTCCTTCATTTGTGAAGTGCGAGACATCCGTCCTTAAGGCTTCCATTCCATCAAATTGATTGTTGGTTAGGTGTTGCAGTGAGAGCTCCGGATTGCTCTGTTGGGCATCCAGGAGAAGGTCACTCAGCTGCAGATGGGTTGGAATATAACCTACTTCTCCTTGAGTGACTTGGATTGGTAGTCTGGGATTTTCTGGAAGACTGGTGTATTGGACGGTTACATCCAACTCTGGCAGTGAAATTTGCCATACCTTTGAGCAACCGGAAAACTTCCCTTTGATTTTCTATGAGGACTTTCAGATAATCTTGAGTAACAACCTGGTTTGCTGAGGAGACTGCCAGGGCAGGTCTGATGTCCATCTGGAGAAGTCACGTTTGCTTCCGAAGGCTCCTTGTAATGGCAGCCAGGTGATGTTTGATCTCCACCACCTCTTTGAGTTGGAGGTGGGAGTCAGAAGCATAGGTCATCATAATCGTGCTCATTGAGGAACTCATTTGAGATATGATCTCAAGAGTTTTGTTAAGAGAATTACTTATCTCTTGAAGGCCTGAGTTGTGCCTTTCTTCAGTACTTTCCATCATCAGGTTGTGCCTTTCTTCAGTTTTCTCCAACACTTCCTGGAATGAGGCTCTTTGAGACTCTAGGGCAGAATCAATCAGTCCTTCGACCTTTTTGGCCCAGAGCTCAGGCATCTCATCCGGAAGAATGGGTCTAAAGGTTGAGTTATGCAAGTTAAAATGAGTTACCTGGTTGGTTGGAGGTAGGTTGTGGAAGCATTGCAAGGGGAGAGATTTAGCTTCTTCTTCATTTTCAGCATCCTCTTCACCAATCTTTAGGGTTTTGACAGATTCTTCCTCAACTTCTTCATCTCTGTAGTTTGAGATATCCTGGGAAAGTGGATCTCTCACAACTTCTTCAATGTGTTTCTCATTGATAGTAACTAGAGTTTCAATAGAAACCTCCAAGTTAGCTACCTCAACATCTTCTCCTTTTTCTGTTGGGCTCCTCTGAGCTTCCATTTCAGGAATTTGCTCAGTTTCTACTTCAGTTTCTACTTCAGTTTCTGAAAGAGTGGACATTAAAGTCTCTTCCACATATTTTTGAACTTCATGCTCCTGATGTTCATCAGCATTTCCTTGAGTTTCAAGTTCAGCTTCCTGATTGGATATCTCACAAGCAGTTGTGAGAATTTCTTGAACTTGAACATAAAAAGAGTGAATAATTTCTTCATCTTCTTCATTAGCTTGGAGTTGAGGAATGGCAGAGTCCTCTTGAATATTTTCAACTTGATCAGTTTCTGGTGCAGAGGAGTTTTCCGGAAATGTTTGGAAACCCTCTGCTATAGCTTCCACATCTTCTTATGTCTCCTCTTCAGCTACTCCTTCAATGTGATCTCCTTGGATGTGATCTCCTTCAATGGGCTTGAAGACTATTGTATCCTCATCATCAACTTCATATTCAGGAGGGGGAGAAGTTGAAAAGTGTTCCAACAGCAAGCCTTCATTGGTTCTCCTGCATATCCAATCTTCATCCAAAATCTGCTCACAGGAGCAGTCAATACGCAGTCCAAGAATCTTTTGATGGTCTTCTCATTGTCAAATTGGGCCCAGTCAAGCATCTGGTCCTGGGAGTTTCCAACTTTCCAAGCTCTCCAGTCAATGTACATCTTGATGAATATGTCCATCCTTTCATTAGTGAGATGTTCGGATGAAGGAGTGAAAGGTAACCATGCAAAGATAGGCAGCGGAATATAAAAATTTTAACATCCTAACATGATTATCTTGCCCAGAATCACGTACTAAAACTTATAGTGAGTAAGAAATTTATACCTTACTCCGTAAGCGGTAAAAACGAAGAAGTCGTAGGAAGAGCGTTGAAAGTGCAAACGTAACCGTTCAAGCGTCCGGTCTCCAACTTTGACACACAAACAACGCCGGAATCTACCACAATCTTTATGCTAGTAAAGATTATGGTAGTATAAAATATAAAGATTAAAATTGGGATAATAATAATCTTGTATATTTCTATAGAAAATATTTCCAATAATATTTAAAATATTATATATATTTTATATACACAAAATGATATTAATGGAACACAAAATAAATTTTCTCTCACTAAAATGAAGTGGCCGAAAATTCCCTAGGACCAAATTGATGAATGTGGTCTATTTTATTCAAGTGAGAAAGTGGGTATAATAATGGACTTTAATTATGCATAAAATGACAAATTAACAAATCAATTACAAATCTCTAATTTATCAATCAAGTAAGTTAATACCAATTTGTCAACCTTGAAATCCATATGGCCGAATGATGATATGAGAAGGATATTTGAAATTCTTCTCCACTCAAATGTTCAAAGTGTATTTTGTTTGACATCAAAAATTAATATAAAATTAATTTTAAATCAAATAAAAATACCAATATCATTTTTAAACAAGTATAAAATATACTTTAAATAGTTTATGTCAAAATAATTATTTTCATAATTAAAATGACAAGCCAAAATAAAATATTCAACATAATATACATACATATATATATATATATATATATATATATATATATATATATATATATATATATATATATATATATATATATATATATATATATATCGGTATTTATATATGTAAATATATCACCAAATGTTTTACATATATATAATATTATATTCCAAAATATTTTATTTTACTATTTTACAAATATACAAATTACTTATTATCCCATTGTTTAATTCTACTCCTTAAATTGTTCAAAGTGTGTGACCCGTATAGGCACTTATAAAGCTAGCCACAGTATTGGCTCTTCACCAATACTATAAGCAACAAGCGGTATCTAGCAACACATTATTGCCCCCAGATTATAAGTTAAGACGTTTGCACCGTCGAAACTTTTCCACGACTCAGACTCCGTGTAACTGTATCCCTTTGTCTCAATGTCTAGACTTAATGCAAGGGATAAAAAAATCCAGCTTGTATCCATTAAGTCATTCACTGATTTATCAAGTCTGACTGATAGGAACAGACGTCATAAAAACATCTCAGCATGGCCATGCAATATCCTCAGTCATAACTTAGCAGTGGGCCCCATAAGACATTAATATCTTTAAAAAGAGTAGTGACAAATCCTATGTACGTAATCTACGTTTCTGAATACGTGCTGCGGCATACCCAAAACAAAGCCTGTATACCATCCTTGTTTCATATGGCTTAGGACAATGCATCAAAGCATGCGGGTTCACATATGCAGAAAACGTAATACTTCAAGTCGAAGGATAGTTACACCCGTGGTCACGCTAAAGATGCTTAGAGCATGAACTAAAAGTTCAAGCAACATCTTTAGGATGGGTCAGTCCAGCATCCTATTATCTCCAAATAATATCTGCCCATGTGCGGATGCGAACACACTATCATTGACTATGAGACTAAGTCAAACATCCAACACACACTAGTCTCAAATGCATTAACGATATCGCACTCTCGTTAATACTCGACTATGGACATTCAGATAAATATTTATTTCAAGACGTTAGTCTCATCAGCAGAAAAACACTATCTGATAAACATCTTTAAATATAAATCTAGGAATATAATATTTGTTTACATTAGCATGAGATGTGTAAACATATTATATCTGCCTATACATGATAGGATAACGATGAACACTTGGCCATCAGGGCACAACTCCAACAAGGAGATGGAGAGCCATGGCTTTGAATTTTCTCATGAGTCTCTTCGTGGACTTGGAAAGTGTCATGGAGTTGGTTCTGTTGTGAGTTCTCTAGATTGGCATTTCCGGATTCAGAGGAAGTGGTGATTTTCTTCTTCTTCTTCTTCTTTTGGAGTTCTCTTTGATCAGAGGCTTCCTCCTGATCTAGAACCACCAGCTCAAGGCTCTGAGGTTCATCAGCATTTTGAGAGGAGGATGCCACTTGTTTCCTCTTTGAAGCCTTCTTCAAAGTGGTGGCAAGGACTTCATTAGAAGAGCCTTCTTCCTCAGCCGCAGAACTGGCTTTGCTTTCATCCTTGTTTCCCAAGAAGTACAGCCAGTACCTCTCTTCATATTTCTTTCCATCTGTGGCAACCTTCAGGCACTCTAATACATACCCAATATAGAGTCCTTGGCAGAGGAATTTCTGCCTAGGTTGACCAATGTGCTTGGAGATGGAATTGAAAAAGTGCTTAGGGCATTGATGATGAATGCTCTTTCTTGTGTAATGTCATCAGCATGTCCTCCACCACCGCATTCAAGACAGCTGATGACCAGTTCCAGTAAGAGTTTGTAGTCACTCTTCAGATCTCCTTTCTTTGCTGGACCAGTGGAAGCTTTTCCAGAAATTCCAATTTTGCTCCAATTGAGAGCCTTGGGAGAAAGCTTCCCAATGCCAATCCCAGATTTGGGCAGATGAAGCTTCGTTCTCAACTTCTTCTGTGAAATCTTTACTTCTTTGTCTCCTATAGTAGAGTGAATGATTTACGTAGACTTTAAGGGGTCCCTTTTGGATTAGAGGTTTGGATTTCTCCATTGGTGTAGAATTCCAAAACATACTCTTCATATTTGGTACGAATCTTCAGATTTAGAAATTCCGAGAGCCCTTGCGCATCTATCATCTCGAGGAAAGCTTTGAAAAATGTCGGTGATGAGCATTTTGCTTCCAATTTCTTGAAGAGAACATTGGCACCTTTAATCTTCATTTTTCTGAATTTGAGAGAGGAATCTCAGAAAAATTAGGGTTCTTCTATGATTATCGCGAGGAACACGACGAAGAGGTTTCTTAAGTAGGTGGGCAGTTGAGATTTGAGATAGTGGCGATTGGGTTTTGATTTGGGCAACTTTTACGGCAGGTGGCGATTGGATTTTCACTGTTTCCAAGCCATATGCCCACGCGTTGCTTCATCAAACGTGGTACGTGTGCTGCCACGTGTACCACACTTAGTTTAATAGAATTAGACCAATTTTGTGAAGTAATAAGGAAAACCTGGCTTCACTAAGTGGTTTTATGAAGATATCCGCCAATCGCTCCTCAGTTGAGATGTACTCAATTTTGATATCTTTCTTTTCAACATGATCTCTGATGAAGTGGTGTTTGACATGAATGTGCTTAGTGTGAGAATGATGCACTGGATTTTGTGAGATGGTTATAGCACTTTGATTATCACAAAATATTGTCACCTCCTTCATTTTGACTCCATTGTCTAGTTGTTGTTGTTTTAACCACAAAATCTGAGCACAACAACTACCAGCCGCAATGTACTCTGCTTCAGCTATAGATGTAGCGATGGAGTTTTGTTTCTTACTAAACTAAGAAACAAGATTTCCGCCAATGAATTGACAAGTGCCATAAGTACTCTTCCGGTCAACTTTGCATCCGGCAAAGTCAGAATCTGAGTATCCCACTAACTCAAATGAACTACTCTTAGCATACCATAAACCCATGTTTTGATTTCCTTTTAGATATCTAAGTATCCTTTTGGCTGCAATTAGATGACTCTCTTTTGGCTTGGATTGAAATCTAGCACAAACACCTACTGCATATGAGATATCTGGATGGCTAGCAGTAAGGTAGAATAGAGATCCGACTATTCCTCTGTAGAGAGTTTGAACAACATCCTTTCAATCCACATCCATGTCAAGCTTGGTGGATGTACTCATGGGGACAAAAACGGATGACTTCTGATCAACATTGAACTTCTTGATAAGATCCCTTGTATACTTGGCTTGGTTGATGAGAGTTCCTTCATTTCTCTGCTTGAATTGAAGACCAATGAAGTAGTTAAGCTCACCCATCATGCTCATCTCAAATTTTCCTTGCACGAGCATATGGTTTTTAAATCGGTCTTCGGACAATTGCAAAGTACTATTTTGGAAATAAATAAGTGGAAATAGAATTATTTGATAATAATAACAATGGCAAACGATATTCCCAAGTAATGCATCTGCATCCTCCACGTCAGCTCTGCCTCCTGGGAAGGTATTATTTTATTGTCTTATTGCTTAAACGTTTGTTAGAAGCTGATTGCTCCAGTTACTTGAACTGAAATGATTGTCCGAATAGTTATGCTGAGCTGATTGCTCAAATACTTGCTTGAAGCTGATTGCTTGAATATCTGTGTTGAGCTGCAAATTGTTGATAAGTGTGCATACTGAAATACTATAGTCTAAGATGTGAATTCACATCCCATAGATGGAACATACTACTGTAAGGTGAATGTTAGCATAAACTCTGACAACGAGATGCTAGGTAACAAAAGAAAAGAGTGTAAAAATATACTCATATAATAAAATATCTTGTCTAATATTCCATTATCTCATTTGATCACCGGAATGGATAACCAAATTATGAAGGGGCTGCAGACCTGGATGAATGAGGGTATCTTATTTTGGTATCAAACGAGAATGACCGTATAAAGGGCAAGAAGAACTTGTTTGAATATTAAAGAAAGTAGTATTTACTCCCAGCACATCATAGTGTAGAGTTGTAGCTGGATGCTAATTAGAAGAACTTAATGAATGGACTATCTTGAAAGACGTTATGTGCAGACGTATTTGGTGGACAAGATGAAACGAATGAGGTGGACTCGAAAGAAGTTTCGACATCGACACGTAGAAGTATGTTTGGCTGTTAGCAAACGCAACGTTGAAGGGCTCTTGACCTGTTACGAAGTCTAATTAGCAGATATTAGTGTTGAATATAAGTGAGCCCTAGAGGACAACTTATGATTCCATATCTATATTATATCAAGAAAAATAGGCCCTAAAGATTGTTTAAGTCGTCTCGTGTAATTTAAACATAAGCTTTAGTCCATAGAGTAGGCGCTCTAGTAACACAGATGAGAACTACGACGTTCTGATTATGAGGCTGTTACAAAGATAGAGGCTACGTCTAAAATATCCTTAGTCGAATATTATGAAGATACGGACATCATAATATATCAAGACTAATATGTATGAGATGAGATAGCTGCGTCTCATAGGCTATAGATAAAGTGTTATCTGAATCTATACATAGGCAACCATATTGGATATGTTCCTGGATTGACCCGCTATGAGAATAATATATGGGTTTGAGTTAAAGTGTTAATATTATTCTCATGCGACCATTAGTATAACTATCCTTTGACTTGAAGTCATTATATTCTTTGGTAAGTTGAGTTGTATACTTTGAGGCATGATTTATGCCATCTGAAATATTGGTGGATGTACAGTTATGTTTTGGGTATGCAATGAAATTTAAGCGAAGATGTGAATGACGTAGATAGAATTTATCCCTTCTTTGATGAAGTATAATATCTTAGGGCCCACTGATTGATGTGACTTGGGAAGTGCATGGCCATGCCCAAATAAATATGTTATTTGAATCCCACAAGTCAATCAAAGAATCAGTAAACCATCGATTTAACTTTAACAAGGTGACACACCCCATAGCTTGTGTTAAATCAAGATATTAGTGATAAAGGGATAAGGGTTATACAAATAGGATGTGTCGTTGAAGGAATTGTTCCAATATCTTTAATCTATAATTTGGAGGTGATACTGTGTTGCTAGATACCGCTTATCACTTGTAGTATTTAATCAATACTATGGCCAATTTTATAGATGCCTAGAATAGGGTCACACACATAGAACATATGAAAGTGTAGAATATGTAAGTGGAGTAAAGTTGCATTATATATACTGTGTATATTATATTCTATGACAATATGATTAAATACACAAACATATATATAAATGAATATTTGGACATTTTAATTATGTGGTAATTAAGTTTGTCAAATATATTTAGTAATAATAAAGTATATATATATATATTCGGATATATATATATATATATATATATATATATGAATAATAAATTGTTTATTATTTTAGTATTATTATTAAGGCACGAAATATATATTTATATATATATTTAATATTTGGACATTTTAATTAAGTTTGTCAAATATTATTTAAGGAACAAAATATAACATAATTATTATATATATATATATGTGCGTAAATATATATATGTATATATATTGTGTTCGGCATATATATATTTATATATATATATATATATATATAAAATAAATGTTATATTATTTATTTTGTGTTAATTATATGATAATTAGAGTTGACAAATTAAATTGGAAGCTTCCTTAAAGTGACATTTGAAATTTTCTAAGTAGAATAGGAATGGGATTTGATTTCCTTCCTAAAATCTAAAAGGTACATTCCTATTAGGAATAGGAATGGGGATTATACTCCTTATAAATAGGAGATCATCCCACCCCTTTTATAACACTTGGAATTTTCGGCCCTAGCATTCTTTTAAGAGACAAAGTATTGTTTTGTTCTCTTAATACTTTACACCAAATATTTTATATTTTAGAAATATTCTAGAGAAAAATTACTAGCATAATTTTCTCTAGAACACTCTTCGTTGTTCGTGTGTCTCAACTGGAGGTCATATACTTTTGTGGCTAGCTCCTGGATCAATCCATCAACCTACACATATCGTTGCTTGCTCGCCAAGAATGGTATATTTCTCAACAATAACTTATAATAATCATAAGAGGTCCTAGGTGGATCTACGTTTGGACATCAAAATTTTTATATTTCCGCTGCCCTATCCAAGCGTAGAACCCAACAATTAGTGATGCTGATAGTGATAGTGGTGACGTCAGTAGAACGCTCCACTTACTCTTGTTAGTATGATAAAAGAATTGTTGGAAAAAAATAACTTAAATGAACCAAGAACGAATCAATATAATCTTGAGTATGTCGTTTGAAGAATTTAGGTTACGACTCGCGAAGGGTGAACCTACTCTGATATCGATGAACGCACTTTATGTAACACCCTAATCCGTCCAGGTCTGCAGCCCCATTCAGACTAAAGTATTTAACTTGGTAATCGTAAAAATTTAAAACTTTTCAAACACACTTTATTGATCCCAATAATATTTTTCATAACATATACAGTACGGAGTATTCAACAATAATGCGGAAGCGATTTTAATATTGACATACCATAAATTGTTTCAAAACTTGTCACATCCATCCCGACAATCTCGCCCCATCTGCCACCAGTATCATATTGTGCTTTCTGTTTACCTGCGTGTAGCAAATAAAATACACTACACGCTCAGCGGTAAAGCTGAGTAAGCATATCTAATGCGTCGAACATCCATATAAACTGAATCTAAATTCATAATCAAAATCATTTGATATCATGCACACAATGTTCATTTCAGACATTCACAGTTTTGGTATTTTTCAATTCATATCAATACATTTTATTCAATTCAGATACTATTTCAATAGTGCTCTTAAATTATTCTTAATCTAAGGCCAGATTATAACAATGCTCTTAGCTATTCTTAGTCTAAAGCCAGATCATAATAATGCTCTTAGCTGTTATTAGTCTAAGGCCAAATCATAATAATCCTCTTAGCTGTTCTTAGTCTAAGGCCAAATCATAATTTCCATAACCAGATTCTTAAAAGGCAATTATTAATCAGGCACTTAAACTATCATCAGTTTAAGACAATTAATTTCGGACACTTAACTGTACATAGTAAGTTAAGGCAATCAGACACTTAAACTATCATTAGTTTAAAGCAATCGATTTCGGACACTTAACTGTATTCAGTTAAGGCAACAACAATATAGCGAATGATCAACATTGGATCGGGCATTCCCAAACAAGTGATCCTCTAGTTTGGACTACGAATCCTGTTTATGCATTTTTATCTAATCCATCAACTATTCATGTTTTCATAAGTTCATTCTAAGATCTATGCTAGAGGTCTTCTAAATAGTCTTAACATCATTTAGCTAGTAGATATATCTTAAAGTCTTCTAGATATCTTTAACAATACACATCATTTTCTTGTTGATAAATTTATTCATTTTGAATTATGGTTCAATAATTCATAATCATAATTTAGTTCAAGATAGTCAAACAAACATATCTATTCACAATTTCATCTTTACGGTTCTTTCGTTCAATTCCATAGATTTTTATTTGTCATAATAAAATCATGATTGTTATGTAATAATAATTACTCGGGTCGTCTATTTGATCATCATAATCAATATTTATTATCAATGATATTCCATTATCCATTATAATAACCATTTATTCAGGATATTATCAAGGTTTGATCATAATAGTCATAATAACCTTTATTAACAAATAGCGGCCTAGTTTCGAGTGTTAACACACGAACTTACCGTCATGCATCAAATAATGGTTTATATGTCAAAAACATCATTCTTATTGTACAAACTCATATATATTTATATTGTTCATAATTAATTGGTATCAAAAATAGAATTTCAGAGAATATTTTCAAGAATATTTTCGGAGGGACTATTGAAGAAAAATTATTTAAAATGATCAATTAATTTATAAAAATCGATTTATATAATTTAAATAATCAATTAATTCATAAAAACCTATTTTTACAATATAAATAATCCATTAATTCATAAAAATCGATTTTTGCAATATAAATAATCCATTAATTCATAAAAATCGATTTTTGCAATATAAATAATCCATTAATTCATAAAAATCTATTTTTGCAATATAAATAATCCATTAATTAATAAAAATCGATTTTTTGCAATATAAAAAATCCATTAATTAATAAAAATCGATTTTTGCAATATAAATAATCCATTCATTCATAAAAATCGATTTTTGCAATATAAATAATCCATTAATTCATAAAAATCAATTTTTACAATAAATAATCGATTAACTGGTACTGACTTCAAACACCTCTACTGAACATAGTTCTAATCGATTTTTAATAAGGAAATAATCGATTTTCGGACACTGTTCATCATCTTCTTCCTCTGGTCAGTTTCGAGTATTATCATTTTTAATCACCAAACTTCAATTAAATTATATAGAAATGTTCTCCAAGGTTCATAGATCATTTTAGCTTCATTAGTTCGTATTTTTAGCATCAATTTCATGGTTTAAGGTTCTTGTTTCTTCAAACATGTCAAACACAAAACTCAACCAAACGACCGTTTATGAACGTAGAAACGATCTACATGAACATTCTAGTCACTAGATATATCTACGGGCTTACCTCGAAGCTTAATGAAGGTTTTGAAAACTTCCGATGATGATTACTCCCAACTCCGGTGACTTCGGCGGCAATCAACAACACCAGACTTCTCTCCTTACTCTCACGAACACAATGGTATATACTTCCTGAAAATTGGTGAAGAATTGGCAAGGATTGGGTATCCTTATATAGGAGAAGAGAAGGGGAAGAGGACAGTACTGAGTCATTGCTACGTCCTTGAATCGTGTAGTGGAGGTGTCTGCCCTGTTCGAATATTTCCACGACATTTCCCTGATTGGGACCAATTTTGGTTCCAGTTGAGGTACACTTCTTGGTCCAACTTTCTCCGAATTAAAATCTGTTTGCACCTTTGCCATCAAACAGTCGAATTCTATTCAACGACATACTTTTCATAATTATTTGTAATACTTTTTCCAACATAATATTTTTGGGTGTTTAACTTTGACAAAGTCAAAATTGGTTTATTTGACCTTTATTCAAAGAGGTTCTCACATTTAATTCATATCATTTGTTCTCATGATTTATTTCAATAAATCATTTTAAAGTTCACATCATAAGTAATTTCTTCATTTATTCCTTATTTGGGTCTGTACTCAGGTTCCCAATCAAGACCACACAATAGTCAACATATTGGATTCATCTCTTATGAGAATTATTTAGATTTTGATATTGGATATTAAAACATATTTCATTTTGGCCCAAAGCCCAACAACAAATTATTTTTAATCAAAACAAATTTGATTAATTGATTATTTATTCATTAATAATTCTAGGGTACGTTTTGGGGCATTACACTTTATGTCGAATACGTTATTATTAATGTCACATCACGAAGTTGAATGCCACCTGAAACTCTTGGACGAACCTCAAAATGCGCGCCAAGAACGGGAAGTTACGATATCATTACGTACCACTTGTGAGGAGTAATACACGATAACATGAACACCGAACTACATTGAGTACTCTGACCGAGAACGAAACATCGAGGGTATAGAGCAGAAGCGGGTACAAACACGATGAATGTGCATGACACAATTTCACGAAGACACTCCATCCGAAATATTGGACTCGCATCATGACGTGACTTGAACGTGAGGAATTGGTGAGAAGAATCTTGTGATTAATACCACATGAAATACTCGAGCTGGGTAGGGCGTACGACGCGCTCCTAGGGACATGATGACTAAGGTACGCTATACACCCGATGAGACCGTATATCGATAATCACTGATGTCGTAGAACTTACCAACCTGACGCGAAAGAATATGAATGACGATGATCGTATGACGACGATGAATGACAACCGTATAGTGGCGACGAGTGCAGCGTGTGACGGTTTGATGACATGTACGAAATCTAAATAAGAAATTGACATCACGCGAGCTGATGAACGAATTGTACCGAACGACTTCGAGACGTAGATAAAATGTACATGGATGACGGTCGCTATGACTTCTGGCAAAGTACCCTGAGGCGTAAAACAAACTTACCGATGATGGATGAATCATGATGAAACTTATTCCGCAAGAAACAAGCTGATAACCAATTTTCGATGTGCAACATCGCTCGAAGTTAATCACAAACGTATGTAGATCGTATAATGAAGAGTTCTCAAAAGACTCGCTCGAGAAATGCGTTGAAAACTGATGGTCCCTAGAAAGTAGTTCTTGAAACACCTTTTCGAATGGGTTTGATTGTATGAACGTTGAGTTTGAATATCATGAAAGTTTATCTGTCATCTACACTTATACGTTGACTACACTGATTGTTCTCCACTTTGACCCATTGACGGTGATCAAATGTCTACATGTGAATGGAGATGGTATCTCCGTAATGAATTAACAAAACCTCTTTCCAAAATCAAGTGATGATGTACCCGTGAAGATAGCATTGTCTTGTGTGGCAAGAATTCTGTGTAATAACGTTGACCTTGACTTATAAATTTGCAATCTTTGAAACATCTAACTATAACGTAATGATGAATTTGTTTTAAGAAAGCAATATGAAATCATCGTGACCCCATTGAACTAGTCTGTACGTTCATGCGATTCCTGGAGAATCTTGCTGAAGATCTCAACGATGAAGATTTTACTCTACCGACAACAAAGACACGTTGACATAGGAACGAAGAGACAGTATTGTACCTCATCACCTGAAGTATTTAAATCACCCTGAACGGATGGCACGAAGAATCGCTGAACGAAAAGTCATGAACACCGTTATGAGTAAACTTGCAAAGTTGTCTATTAACCGAATTCCTAAATCGAAAATCTGTAAACCCCAAGTACCTTATCATTATCAAATTTCTGAACTTGACCTCTTTGAATGCCATATGATAAACAAATAATAACTAATCACGCTTTTTTTATAAGTATTTCCATTGCATAAAAAATTTAAATTGATTTATGACAACAAAGCAAAGCAAATTTTAGAACTTCATTACTAGAGACATAGTTTATTTACAATGAGTGGGGTTAAAAATTATAGACTAAAAAATTAATAATTCACCTGTAATTTGTTCTTCATGGCATAAATTCTTGTCTTAAAAAAATCATTATACTATTAAACATTGCCTTTTTTGTATTATCAAGTCATACTTGGTAGTATCTATTTTAAAACTCCATTTTTGGTCTTCAAACATTATGCTTATGGTTCATAAAATGATTATTTCAAAACTTTTAATCTTCTACAAAACAGCTGAATACGCACTACTTCATTGTTGAAATTAGAAAAGATGTAAAATATGAAACTACACTATGCTCACATTATTCACTATAATACTCTAATTTTATAAAATGCCTTCTTAATATACATGGGTATACAATCCAAACTAAAAAAAACTCATCATGCTGACATGGACATCGGATATGTATGAAATCTGATATCAAAATCCATACATGCAAAAATCATGTCATTCATGAGATTACCTTATATATTATGAATTTGGAATATATCAACCATGTCTATCAACTCTAAATGTCTTATACACCTTAATGTTATTCCCAATATTTTTGGAATTGTTTTTAAGTAAACCATGATCAAGCACTACAATCCGCGCAACGCGCGTAAATATCTTTGTTTGTGTGTGTCCATATATGTGTATATATATATGTATGTATGTATGTATGTATGTATGTGTGTGTGTGTGTGTGTCTATATATATATATATATATATATATATATATATATATATATATATATATATATATATATATATATATATATATATATATATATATAGATTTTGGTTCGGGTGAAAATGCAATCTAATGAAAGAAATAAGAATGAATCTGGTGCATTAGATTGGGAGATCTAAGGGTTAGGATTGCATCAAAATTAGGTGCACCAAGATGGTTTGAAAATGCATCATGTCGAAATGCACCATAATCCTTTGAAAATGCACTATCTCAAAATTTGAGTGCAGACTGCAATCTGAGCCGCACGATGCATCAGATCCAAAGGCCAGATTTTATTCTTATTTCTTTCACCAAGGTGCATTCTCACTTGAACCAGCCCCTATATATATATATATATATATATATATATATATATATATATATATATATATATGGGATTGACTCCAGTGAGATGACACCTTACGGTGTAATGACATGCTTCGGTCAGATGACGCAAAGCTCACCACTGGCCACTAGAAAGCTCACCAATGGACAATACACAGCTCACCTGGAAATAAAGCAAAGCTCACCACTTTGAACACCAAAACTTA